CACGGACCGAGGAGTTCAACGTGCATGCGAGCCGGTGGGTGATTAGCCCACGAGGCGGAAGAAACCTGAGTGGCGGGAACCCTCTGCGGGTGCACAGTCCGCCAACCACCATCTGCTGTAAGAGGTTTGAGTGTCAGCATGCCCGTTGGGACCTGAAAGATGGTGAACTATGCCTGAGCAGGGCGAGGCCAGAGGAAACTCTGGTTGTGGCTCGCAGCGATACTGACGTGCAAATTGTTCGTCGGACTTGGGTATAGGGGCAAAAGAGTAATCGAACCGTCTAGTAGCTGGTTCCCTCCGAAGTTTCCCTCAGGAAAGCTAGAGCTGTTGAACAGTTTTATCGGGTAAAGCGAATGATTAGAGGCCTCGGGGGTGAAACACCCTCRACCTATTCTCAAACTTTAAACAGGTAAGATTTCGGGGTTGCTTAAGCGAACCCCGAGGATCAATGAAAGCTCCAAGTGGGCCATTTTTGGTAAGCAGAACTGGCGATGCGGGATGAACCGAAAGTCGAGCTACGGTGCCAAACTGTGCGCTAACCCGGACACCACAAAGGGTGTTGATTGATACAGACAGCAGGACGGTGGTCATGGAAGTCGAAATCCGCTAAGGAGTGTGTAACAACTCACCTGCCGAATCACTCAGCCCCGAAAATGGATTGCGCTGAAGCGCGCGATCTATTCTCGGCCATTGCGGCGATTCTGACAGCGCGACGAGTAGGAGGGCGCGGGGCCTGCTGCGAAGCCTGGAGCGTGAGCCTAGGTGAAGCGGGTCCCGGTGCAGATCTTGGTGGTGGTAGCAAATATTCAAATGAGAACTTTGAAGACCGAAGTTGAGAAGGGTTGCATGTGAACAGCGCTTGGACATGGGTCAATCGGCCCTTAGAGATGTGGAAACCTTGTATCAAGGGCGGACTGTGCCCCGCACATCGAAAGGGGGTCGGGCTAATATTCCCGAACCGGGTTGTGGAGGTGGACGGTAACGTAAGCAGCTTTGGAGATGCCGGCGGGGGCCATAGGGAGGGTTCTCTTTCCTTCTTGACGGCCTTTCACCCTGGAATAGGATCAACCGGAGATAGGGTGCAGCGCCCGGCAAAGCACTGCGCGTCCTGTGGTATCCAGCGCGCCCCCGACGGCCCTTGAATATCTGGAGCTGCGTGTACCTCTCCCGCCCGGCCGTACTCATAACCGCATCAGGTCTCCTAGGTGAGCAGCCTCTGGTCAAAGGAAGAATGTAGGTAAGGGAAGTCGGCAATATGGATCTGTAACCTTGGGAAAAGGATTGGCTCTGAGGGCTGGGCCTAGGGGTCTTCGCCTCGATGTCGTTGGCTGCCGGTGGTCTGCCTGAGCTGCTCCCGCGGCGAGGGCGGAGCCCGCGTGCTAGTGTGCCGACTGGCGTAGAATGTCTTATGTCCCGACCTTTCGGGTGGGGCCGTGGGACTCTCCCTAAGCATCAGAACTGGTGTGGACAAGGGGAATCCGATTGTTTATTTAAAACGAAGCTTTGCGATGGTCCCAACGGATGTTGACGCAATGTAATTTTAGCCCAGTGCTCTAAATGTCAAAGTGAAGAGATTCAACCAAGCGCGGGTAAACGGCGGGAGTAACTATGACTCTCTTAAGGTAGCCAAATGCCTYGTCATCTAATTAGTGACGCGCATGAATGGATTAACGAGATTCCCATTGTCCCTATCTACCATCCTGCGAAACCACAGCCAAGGGAATGGGCTTGGAAGAATCGGCGGAGAAAGAAGACCCTGTTGAGCTTGAGTCTAGTTCGACTCTGTGAAATTACGTGAGAGTTGTAGAATAAGTGGGAGCCTTACGGCGCAAGTGAAATACCACTACTTTTAACGTTATTTTACTTATTTC